ATGGTTCTGAAATTCAGGTGGGATAGACTCAAAGTCATATTTTGGTTGCCTTGGATTTGGTTTAATTTTCCTCAGCTTCAGCTTGAATTTGCATAGGAGTAGTTGGTGGTCTGTTCCACAATCAGCTCCTGGCCTAGTTTTCACAGCTGATACTGAGCTATAAGCATGCTTTATTATTCTATTTTTTAAAAAAGAACATGCCTTATACTTTTTCCAGAAGAGGGACATCCCTTTGTGTTCATAAACTGTGCTTTCTCTCATCTTGTAACAACCTTATCAAGAGCAGGAATAATAATGAAAGTAAGTGTCTGAAGATGTGTGAGAACTAATTGCAATCTTCTTTCTGATGACACCTTCTCTGTGCAAGGCACACAGCCATATTCCTTTACATTCTTTGGTCCTCTACAAAAGTCTGCTATTAGAGACTGCTCCAAAGTACTGAAGAGCAGTGATGTCACCCTGGAGATTAAGGTATACCTGGTAAAGGCCATGGTCTTTGCAATCACTTGCTATGCATCAGAGAGCTGGACAGTGACTAGGGATGATAGAAGGAAAATTGATGCCTTTGAGCTGTGGTGTTGGAGAAGAGTATTGAATATACCATGGACTGCTAAGAAGATGAACAGGTTTGTGCTGGAGAGGGTGAAACCAGGCTGCTCCTTAGAGGCAAGGATTCTGAAGCTTCGTCTGACATACTTTGGATATGTTGCAAGGAGGGACTAGTCCTTGGAGAGGGACTTCATGCTTTGGAGGGTGAGAGACAGCGCAGGAGAGGAAGACCCTCAATGATGTGGATTGATTCTGTAACTGCGGGTAATGGGGGTAGGTGTGGCAACCTGACGGCATGTAACAACAACAGCTGTTCTTTAAGTCTCTTGGTGGTAAGCATCATTTATTCCATTGGTGTGACCATTGTAGGAACCATCTTCCTATTCTGTTTTGATACTGGTTTTAAAGTTTTTAAACCACACACAAGTATAATTTTATTACTTTTAGTGTCTCAGTCTTTACTGAAAATATGATCCCTGAGCTTACCTTGAGAAAAGCTTGCCTTTGAATGGTTTCCACTGTTTCTAACACTTAAACCCCCTTCTCTTTTTCATGGGCCCAAGTTTGTCACTATTGAAGATATTTAGGAGAATCCATACTTGCCCTCTTCAGCGTAATTGAAATCTTATTTCTCCCTCTGAAAGAATTTTTCTGGATCCCTATGGGGGGCCCAGGTGGCACTTGGACATTCAGATCCACCAGCCCCTCTGAGGGAGAAAGAAAGCTGGAGCATCTGGCACCATCAGGGCCACGACGGTGGGAGCTCTGGTAGAGCTCAGCTCTGTTCTCTAAGGTTGCTATGAGTCGGAATCAGCGCGATTACCCTCTTCCAAATCCACATTCATCCTTTTGCTTGTTGAGTTTACCACTAACTTTCCAGGACTTAAATCCAAGCCTTTTCCTACTTTCCTGAGCCTGCCGATCAGTGGCAGTCTCTCCATCTTTTGCAGTCCCACCGCGTCTTGTATTTTTCCACTGCCATCTGCCTCACCAGGTTGTATTCTAGTCATTTGTGCCCTGTCTTCCTCTTACTTAATGTTGAATTTTTTTAAGGCGAAGAACTGTTTCTTAATCTCTTGTCTTCCTCCCAGAGCCTAGCCTATTGACTGACACAAAAGACACCTCGGTAAATATTTATGCAGCAGAATGCATTACAGGCTCAGAATTTCATTCCAAAGAGAAAGTCTGAAACTCTTGCATGTGGTCATATTCAGAGGTATCAGCTTCTGCCAGAATTTACAAAGTCAGAGTGTTTTAAGAAAAAAACAACCTACATTCTCTCTGCCTTTTATTCACCCAGTAACATCTCCACACGCTCCTCAAAATTCTATGTGATAGGGGACTTGTGGCCGGTAAATTCTTGCATAGTTAGAGGAGTGACAAAGTGGCATAGTCCATAGGAAATGTCAGTCTATCTCAAAGGCCACACACCTCTGGTGTTTCAAATTCATCAGGGCTTCCTCAGGAGAAAACAACAGTCTCATGAGAGGAGACCTTTCATAGCAATTTACTTCCTCCAAATCCAGATCACCTGAGTTTAACCAGCTACAGGACACTGAGTCCAGTTTGGTGGATGGCAGCCACCCGTGAACGGTTATGAACTTAGGAGTTCACTGAAGTCAGTTAACTGGTTTAACTCATGTGTCTCCGATAGTCATTTTAAATATATATATATATATATATATATATATATATATAT